AATCCCAACATTGCTGTTGTACATATGAAAATTGTTGAGAGTAAATCTTAAGTGTTCTTATCACAAAGATAAAAAAGCTTTTTTCTATTTTGTGTCTATGTGAGATAATGGATGTTAACTAAATTTACGGTAAGCATTTCACAATATATTGCTAGTCAAATCAATACACTTACACAGTCTCCTTTATGATGTAAATTTATACAGCGTTGCATGTAAATTATACTCTATAAAACTGGGGAGAACAGGAGGAAGTTAAAGAGTGTCTTGCCCAAGCACAGAATTTCCAATCAGTTTTGTCGCACCTCTTTCTTAAATTTGAAAGGGCAGCTATTTATCATTTAGACATTTACAGAAAGCTGTTAAATTTGACCAAAGTATCAAGCAAGTAGGAAAAAATAAAAAATTTGAGGAAACTGAGATGATGTTGGGGAGTGGGGAGAGTAGACTGTGAAAAGTAGAGATAGAAAGAAAACCCTAAAAACACATGTAGAGAAAAGAAGTGGTCCAAATAAGTCATGGGACTCAATGGCATAGAACCTTGCAAAGTACTTCTAGAAGCCAGAAGACAGTGGGCTGTTACCATCAATATCTGAATTTGCTTTCCCAGTTAGAATTCTAAGCCCAATCAAATATCATGCAAGGATTATAGTGGAATCAAGTCACTTTTAGAAGTAAGGTTTCAAAATTTACTTCCAGTGTACACTTTCTCTGGGAGCTATACAATTATGTCTCTTACTGATACATGAGAGTAAATAAATAAAAACAGATAAAGACTAAAATCCAAGAAATAGAGTAAATGATGGAGGGCAGAAGTGAAGGGAATTCTTAGGATGGTGCAGCCGGCCCAGAGAGCATCAAGTTCAGACTGGAAAAGAAGATGGAGTTTTAAGAAGGATGTCTTCAAGAAATAAATGAAACTGCCGGATAACTTGTTGTATTCATAAATATTGAGAAGAGATATACAAAGCTGGTAAAGAATTGGGATGAATTAGCAGTAGATATATAGAAACCTAAGCAAAAATGATTTGCAGGGGAAAAATGTAATTATAGTATGCTACATGGTTTGTGAATAATAAGTACTGAATACTGGTCTAAACAAAATTATAAAAATGGAGGGGAAGTACATATGTGTACTACATAAGAGTTAAATTTTTAAGGAATTCAAAGATACCTAAAACAAAGTATGCCATTTGGAATAAGGAGATAACTACAAGGGCAGACTCTCTAGTTTTTTATTTAGAATTCAAAGTGCTTACCTCTGTGGTTCTGGAACAGGTATTGGGAAGATGGGGAATAGGATACTTTTTCTATGATAAGCCGTCTGGGATTATTTGACTTTTAAACTTTGCACATATTTTCAGTTAAAAACGAGCAAACCACAACAGTACAAAAATCAAATGCACCAATTAGTGGATTAGGGATAGATGTCCAAAAAATGGTTCTGGAAAAATTGGTATATGGAAATACAGAATATGGGAAAAATTAAGCAGACCACTGCAATAAATGCAAAAATAAATCCCAAATGGATTGAACATCAAAGTAGTAAAAACCAACTTCACATTCAGAATTTGAGATTATCTTTAAAATCTTGAGTTAAGAATAAAATGGGCAAATCATGAAGAAAATGATAAACTTAACATTTAATGGATGGCAGTTTAATGGCTAAATATGTTTTGATATAGTCATAAAATAGAAGGCTATAACATGGTAGCAATGAATGCACAGTACTATATATGTGCATAAATCAAAATAGGTCATTGAATAAGCATTTCACCACAGAAGATTTACCAATGGCCGATAAAGACATGAAAAGATGCTAAGCATCACTAACCATTAGGAAAATGCAAATGAAAACCACAATTAGATACCATTTCACATCTATTAGGATGGCTTTTATCAAGAAATAGGGAATAACAAGTGTCAGTAAGGATGTGGAGAAATTGGACCCCTTCTGTGCTGCTGGCTGGAATGTAAAGTGATGTAGCTGCTATGAAAGAATATGGAGGCTCCTCAAAAAGTTAAACAAAGATCCAGGAATTCCACTTCAGATATATGTACTCGGAAGAATTGAAATCAGGGACAGGAAAAGGCATTTGTCACCCATGTTCAGCAGCATATGCACAGTAGCCAGAATTGGAAGCAGCCCAAATGTCCATTGATGGATGAATGGATAAACAACATATGGTATATACATTTAATGGAATATTATTCAAGCTTAAAAAGAAAGGAGTTTCTGACATATGCTGCAACATGGATGAACCCTGAAGACATGCTAAGGGAAATAAGCCAATCACAAAAGGGCTAACACCATATGGTTCCATTCATATGAGGTACTTGGTCAAATTTATAGACAGAAAGTAGAATGGCGGTTGCTAGAGGCTGGAGAATTATTGTTTAATGGGTATAGAGTTTAAGTTTTGCAAGATGAAGAAAGCTCTAGAGATGGTTGGTGGTGATGTGCACAATATGAATGTACTTAACCACAAAATGCTTAAAATAAGAAAAAAAAAGCAAACTCAACAGATTGAAAAAAAATCAAATTGCAGAAGGATCTATCTTGTATGGTTCCATTTATATTAGTATAAAGTTTTACAACCTACAACAGATACTATCTATCTATGTATCATAAATATAGAAACACTGAGAAGCAAACATAAAATAGTGGTACATCCGAACAAAGAAGACACAGGAACTTCAACTGGGAGGGAGCGCACAGAGAACCTCAGTCACACCTGTGTATTTTCTTTTTTTAAAAAATATCTTGAGTAAACATGGTAAAATACTGGATTTGATAAATCTGGGGAGTGGTACATCTCTTTTTTTCCCCAAAACACAGTGGTTCATAGAGTTAGAAGAAATCTTCAAAAGGCCAAATTTTTGGTTAATGCAGGTCTATATTCTCTAAAATCTTTTTCCTAATCCACTTCTCAGATGGTTTTTCTGAGCATTTTCTGTGGTTCTCATTTTGAAGATGTCCTTCCCTCCCATTCTTTTGCCTGGTTTGTGTTGGAAGCTCGGCTAAATCACTCACTCAGGTGTGCTTATCTTGTTGTCACTTTCTTTTCTGGACCCCAGATATCCTAAAATAACCTTAAAGATGCTGGTTCTTTGGAGATTTTTATAATAAACTGGTTTCCGGAAGCCCTGCTCTTTCATATGACTCTTTTCTGTTTCATTTCTTTGAAGCATGTTCGGATCTCTAACACTGTTGTTGGAATTATAGTAATCAACACACAGTTACTCGGTCATTGGCTGTGGTGTGTGTGTGTGTGCTGGGTGGATTTACTGGATCTGTCTGCTCTCATCAGCTGTCTCTAACATTTCTATCTCTTTTTTAAAGCCTGTGCTCTTTACAGGTCCTCTTCTCTCCAAATGGGAATAAAATATCAGAATCCTTTATAACATCAAACATTCATAAACATAATTTATAGAAAAACAAAGGTAATCCAATGGACCTTAAGTGAATTGCTTAACATCTCCTAGGTCTACTTTTTCTTTTCCAACATATAGTGATACCTGCTCAATAACTTCACTGGATTCTTATAAGATCATGTTAAGTTATGTAGATGAAAGCATTTTAGAAGTTTTATAGCACGACACACATATCATGTACATTTCTTAATGAACTCTAAGATGTAAAATTGGCAGACTCAATCCTACGCATAGGCCTCTGTAGTAGTATTTACTAAAATACGATTTTCAGAGCGTTGGCTCCTGGGAATGTTAATAGGTATTATGTGAAAAGTGCTTCTATGAATAAAACTTTGGGACAACACTAGATTAAATAAAGTTAGGCTGCTATACCCTTGTACTTTCTCTTTTGAGAGTATTTAATAGTAGACGAGTGTACTTTATGGACAAAGGAGAGAAATTATATACACTAAGGAATACCTTTTGCTGGGGCGGACTTTTGTTCTTGGGAATACACTTGGGAAATATAACCCAAGATGTATTTTATTGCTCTTAGTCTTACAGTTCATTTTCAAAACTATGATTTTGTTTTTTATAATTCCTTTGATCTTTATTAGTCATATTAAATTTAAACTAAACTGATTATTTTCTTAATGGTGTTATAGACATTACTGAACTAGGAAAACAAGTAATTCATTAGCACTTAAACTTTTATAACTAATTATAGCTTAAATTTTTTTCTTGTTCCAAAAGGGCTTCTAAACTACCTAAAAATAGAATAAATTTGTTCTTAAAGCTTGTTAGGCCAATGTGCTTTAATAAAATACCAAGGCCTGCCTTTCGATATGGCAGGTCTAAGAAGATGAAATCTCAGATACTGTCCTGAGAATGTCTCTAGTCACTGAATACTGAAACGTTGGGCATTTCAAAAATCTGTGTTAGTATATGTGTCAATTTGAGGTTACAGTGAAATGATATACAAATTTCTATAACATTTTTATTTCCATAGTCTTTATAAAGCTCATAAATTATTTAGGTTTCTCATTTTTTTTCTAATTTTTGTGACTTGTTTTTCCCCTTCTTACATAAAATGAAAACTATTCCTTTGAAATATCAAATCATTAAAATTATTGAAATATTTTATTAGATGATTCTGTTTTTAGGCATTGCTTCACTGAACTTTCTATATTCCATTTAATTTTGTATGCAGGTACCTAAAATTTGATTTAATGATTTAACTTTCCGATAGGTTCGCTCAGTATTGACATTCACTTATGTTACATCATTAACAATGGTTTATTTAATAAGGACATGTCATTTACTTCTGGTATAAAGTACATCTAATTTGTTTCATTTCCTTTTTTCTCATACACTTAAATTTATTTGTGGGAATTCTAGGCAGACATTTTTTAAATTTAAGGAATAATACTAGTTGAGTGACAATCCTAACTTTTAGGACATGGAAAATTGATGAAAGGCATCTTAATTTTAAGTATTGTATCTTTAATTTGACCAACAATTGTTTTAAAGTAACTGTCTTAATTTATTCTTTTATTTCATTTTTTGTTTTGCTATTTTCTTTTTTCTAGCTTGTGATGAATGGAAAATATTACCAAAACCAAATCTTCATAGAGATGTCAACAGATTTGGACACTCTGCAGTTGTCATTAATGGGTATGAAAAATGTATTTATCGGTCATTCTATCCACATACTCTGTCATTCTTTAAAAAGTTACCGTTTGTACTTAATAGATTTGGCTTTCTGTATCCCTGCTCTACTGCAGAATACATTTTGGTTCATTAACCAGTAGTCATTCTTTTTTATTTGAAGGTGCTGAGATAAAACTTCAGATGCTTTATAAAATACATTTTTATTAAGGGAAGGTGCTGAGATAAAACTTCAGATGCTTTATAAAATACATCCTGCTTTCTTTCTTTTTTCCATAGATCAGGTAATAAATAACTTCCTTAAAAAAGATCAAACAAATGATAGATAGCCCAATATTTGTATCAGGGAGAGCAAGGAAAATGAGTAGAATTAGATTCTTGTTTTAGTTCTGTCATTAACTGCATGGTTTTTGAGAAGCCTCTTAACTTGCCTGGACTTTAATATCCTCTGTTCTTGGGAATTTGGACTGGATTATCAAGTTACCTTCCTTCTTTAAGTTAGTATGATTTTTTTTCTATTTCCATAGCAAAAAAATATGGTGATGGGGACTCAAGGGCCAGTAAACAACATATTAGCTCATTCATTAGCTTAAAATTTGTAATTCATAATAACATTTTTATAAGTTCACTTTATTAACACCTTATTCTAATTATGTAAGATTCTAATTATGTAAACAGGTAGTTTAACCACAATGACACTGTTAGTAATAAATAAATACTAGTTCAGAATGTAAGCTTACTAATAAATAAAGTAATAATAAAATAAATAAAATTCAGAATGTAAACTTAAAATTACTAGGCTTGTCTGTTGAAAATTGAGTTTTGTTGATTTTTATTTTACTTTTTTTTAATATTAAAAGATTATTGAAGCATTTTCTGATCTTTTCCATTTATTATATTGATAATACTTTTAGAATAAAACAATGCTATTTTGAGGGCAAGTCAAATTTCTTTGGCACTGGTAATATTAATGAATTCAGTAACTGGATTTGCCTTTCCAAATTGAAATTTTGAAAATTTTTTTGATTAAATTTTACTCTTAGTCTTTATTTTATAAGAGGATAGTAAGACACTATAAGAACTCTAATATCTAAATTCTATATCTTTTCAACAATTATGATTCTAGATAATAATTCTAAAGTATGTCTTATTAACCAGGTTTAGCTATTATTTATCTCTAAAAATGGCATTTCCTACCATGCTAAAATAACATAAAATGTGTATTATATTTATTTTTAAAAATAATAGTCAATACTTTTGTAGCATCTATGTTGACATAGTGACTACACTAGTTGGAGTGAGCATTTAATAATGTATATAACTGTTGAATTGCCATGTTGTATACCTGAAACCGATATAATATTGTATATCAACTAGATGTCAATAAAAACCCAGAAAGACTAACACATTTGACAGAGGCTTTCTTAATATTGTTTCAGTAAGATTCTTGTTTTGTTCTTAATAGGTCTATGTATATTTTTGGAGGATTTTCTAGTGTACTCCTTAATGATATCCTTGTCTACAAGCCTCCAAATTGCAAGGCTTTCAGAGATGAAGAACTTTGTAAAAATGCTGGTCCAGGAATAAAATGTATTTGGAATAAAAATCACTGTGAATCTTGGGAATCTGGGAATAATAATAATATTCTTAGAGCAAAATGCCCTCCTAAAACAGGTAAAGTTTTATTTTGTTCCTCTTTCTAGGTTAGAAGTAGGAATGTGTTTTACTTTTAACACTTAGCTTAGTAGTTTTCAGAAATTAAAACCTCATAATCCTCTAATTAGGAATTTTAATGTTTGAATTCAGTGGTTAATGATTTACTATCTCTATTACCTATTTTTAGTATTCTCTTTTCAATTCTGTATGTAATGATGTATGTACCATGGTCATTTTATATAAATGTATATTATTTATTTTCCTGTATAACTAAAACATGCTTTAAAATACATCTCTCTATGAAATACTGAGTGCATCCAAGAAATAAATTAATTTATTCTGCATTTGGAAATTTTTCTTCCTGAATTATTGCTAAGTCAGACCATAAAGTTAAAAATTTTCTAGAATCTTGATGACTAGTTTTCTACTTTAATATTTTTAAAAATACTGAATAAATAAATCAAACTTCCAAAAAACTGGTAGTAAATGTTTATGAATGAATGACTTGGATAAAAATTTTTCAACTCTTTAAATGGGTGGGGATTTCATAGATTGTTTATGCTACAATTAAATGTATTTTCAAGTTTTGCTAATCTATGATAACTCAGATGTCTCTAAATATCTTCATGAAGAATGATAACAATGAGTATTTGTTAAAATGTTTTTCTTTAGATGTATAGTAATACATTTTGTTCAGTAAAATACCTATAAGCCTTTTGCCCCCTCCATAATATGTGAATTTTAAATGGTTGTAGGGTCCTGGTAGATTGAATAATTTAGATAAGGGTAGGAGGTGTTTAAAACCCCATAAACAGAACTAAACTACAATGTTGCCTTCATATTTAAGATGTTATTTTGATATTGATGGTCATATTTACAGTTTAAAAAATGTCATAGTGATTCTTGAACCAATGTTAAAAATGTGTGAATTAAGAACTGTAATATTTTCTTTTGCATCCTGATGTGTTCTGTCTCCCATTTGCCTTACAGCTGCTTCTGATGACAGATGCTACAGATATGCAGATTGTGCCAGCTGTACTGCCAACACAAATGGGTGCCAGTGGTGTGATGACAAGAAATGCATCTCAGCAAACAGTAACTGTAGTACGGTTAGTACTTAGGGTGATGCAGCTAACATTGCTGCTTTATGATCATTAACTTACTGATTAATAGCACTGTGCAAAGTACCATTTTGCACATCAAAACATTTGAAAAATATGTAGGTATGTTGTAAATTCAGTCTACAGTTCCTTGCTCGAATTTGTCAGTCTAGATTCTATTTTGAATTCAGTAACTTTTACTTCTTTTCGTGGATGAGATTGGGAAAATTCTTTCAAAAAAACTGATTTTTTAAAAAAGACTGTAGCTGTAAACATTGTTTTCTGTGTTGATGAAAATAAAATTATACAGGTAATTTCCATGGAATTCTTACCAGACATGCATTAATATAGTGCATTCTCTATAGTGTTTTGTTTACATTGTATGTAAATTTCACCTGAGGTCTTGACAGTGGAAATTTGCCTTTCATTTGTCTTTAGATCCATGATTCTTAACCAGAGACAGTTTTCTGCACCAAAGGACATTTGGTCATATGTAGATATTTCTGGTTGTCACAACTGTGGGGTTGCAACTGGCATCGAGTAGATAGATGCAAGGGATGTTGCTAAATATTGAACAGTGCATGAACCACTCTCCCACAAAAAGTAATTATCTGGCCCAAAGTGTCCATAGTGATGAGGTTGAGAAACCCTACTTTAGGTAGACTATTGAAAACAATTATAAAATTAATATAATATTTTTTTCACTTAGATGAAAATGGAATAAGGGGAACAAAAATTAACCTCTTAGTAGTATCAAAATAGCTTGTTTTTTAAAAGATGTCAACAAACTGAAAGAGAAAATTTTGAAAGAATTGAAAAGTGTATTCAGTAGAATTAAAGATTCTTTTATTGGCCTATAGTTTAAATAACTAAATAATGTGCATACAGATTTTCAGTGAAATATAATATACATTATTTTTTCTTTTCTGAATTTTTATTAATCAACAAAAGTATCTACTTGGTTTTTGAGAGACCAGGCAAAGGTAAAAGGTAAAGAAAAGGGAATTTGAAAACTCAATAAAATATTTTTATTCTACCTAAAACTTTTCCTTAGTAACCAATCATATTTCAAAATATTTAAGTTTTATAATTCTATTTTAAAATAATACTCAAAACTTAAAATGGAGGAAGAATTTCAGTATTCACTCATCAAATTGAATACTTTGCTTTATACATACTGTTTTTTTGAGTTGGTTGAAACATTTTATTTTATTTTAGTGTTTAAATGATCCTTTTTTTAAAAATTAAAATATCATTAATATACAATCTTATGTTGGTTTCAAATGTACAACACAATGGTTCAAAAGTTACCCATATTATTAAATCCTCACGCCCTTTAGTGCGGTCACTATCTGCCAACATAGTCAGGTGTTATGGAATCATTAATTGTATTATCTATGCTGACAACCAAACCTGTGATCAACTTATATTGTGACTGTGAACTATTGTGCCCCTTAACCCCCATTCCCCTCTGCCCTTTTGTAACCATTAGTCTCTTCTCTATGTCTGTGAGTCTACTGCTGTTTTGTTCCTTCTGTTTTGCTTTGTTCTTATACTCCACAAATAAGTGAAATCACTTGTTATTTGTCTTTTTCTGCCTGCCTTATTTGACTGAGCATAATACCCTCTAGATCCATCCATGTTGTTGCAAATGGCAGATTTCTCTTCTTTTTATGGATGAATAATATTCCATTGTGTATATGTACCACCTCTTCTTTATCCCTTCATCTGTTGAACACTTAGGTTGCTTCCATATCTTGGCCATTGTAAATAATGCTGCAGTAAACATAGAGATGCATATGTCTTTTCATGTGAATCAGGGATCTTGTTTTCTTTTTTTTTTTTTTGGTATTCTTAATGTATAATTACATGAGCAACATTATGGTTACTAGACTTCCCCTATTATCAAGTCCCCACCACATACCCCATTCAGTCACTGTCCATCAGTGTAGTAAGATGCTATAGAATCACTACTTGTCTTCTCCGTGCTGTACTGCCTTCCCCTTGCTCCCCCTGTATATTATGTGTGCTAATTGTAACGCCCCTTTTCCCACTTATCCCTCCCTTCCAACCCATCTTCCCCAGTCCCTTTCCCTTTGGTAACTGTTAGTCCATTCTTGGGTTCTGTGAGTCTGCGGCTATTTTGTTCCTTCAGTTTTTGCTTCATTCTTATACTCCATAGATGAGTGAAATCATTTGATACTTGTCTTTCTCTGCCTGGCTTATTTCACTGAGCATAATACCCTCTAGCTCTATCCATGTTGTTGCTAATGGTAGGATTTGTTTTCTTCTTATGGCTGAATAATATTCCACCGTGTATATGTACCACATCTTTATCCATTCATCTACTGACGGACCCTTAGGTTGCTTCCATTTCTTGGCTATTGTAAATAGTGCTGCGATAAACATAGGGGTGCATATATCTTTTTCAAACTGGGATCCTGCATTCTTAGGGTAAATTCCTGGGAGTGGAATTCCTGGGTAAAATGGTATTTCTATTTTTAGTTTATTGAGGAACCTCCATACTGCTTTCCACAATGGTTGAACTAATTTATATTCCCACCAGCAGTGTAGGAGGGTTTCCCTTTCTCCACATCTTCACCAATATTTGTTGTTGTTTGTCTTTGGGATGGTGGCCATCCTAACTGGTGTGAAGTGATATTTCATTGTGGTTTTAATTTGTATTTCTCTGATGATTAGCTATGTGGAGATGTGGAGCATCTTTTCATGTGCCTGTTGGCCATTTGAATTTCTTCTTGAAGAAGTGTCTGTTCATATCCTCTGCCCATTTTTTAATAGGGTTATGTGCTTTTTGAGTATTAAGGTGTGTGAGTTCTTTATATATTTTGGATGTCAACCCCTTATCAGATATGTCATTTATTAATATATTCTCCTGTACTGTAGGATGCCTTTTTGTTCTACAGATGATGTTCTTTGCTGTACAGAAGCTTTTTAGTTTGATGTAGTCCCACTTGTTCATTTTTTATTTTGTTTATATTGAACAAGGAGAAGTGTTCAGGAAAAAGTTGCTCATGTTTATATGTGTTCTTCTGTGAGTTTTATAGAGTTACATTCAGGTCTTTGATCCATTTTGAGTTATTTTTGTGTATGGGGTTAGAAAATAACCCAGTTTCATTCTCTTACATGTAGCTGTTAAGTAACAACAGTTGTTGAAGAGGCCGTCTTTTCCTCATTGTATATTCATGGCTCCTTTATCGTATGTTAATTGACCATATATGTGTTGGTTTATATCTGAACTCTGTAGTCTATTCTATTGATCTATGGATCTGTTCTTGTGCCAGTACCAAACTGTTTTGATTACTGTGGCTTTGTTGTAGAACTTGGGAGTCAGAGAGCATAATCCCCCAAGCTTTGTTCCTTTTTCTCAGGATTACTTTTGCTTTTTGGGGTTTTCTGTGTTTTCATATGAATTTTAGAACTATTTTTTTCTAGTTCATTGAAAAATACTGTTGATATTTTGATAGGTTTTGCACTGAACCTAAAGATTGCTTTAGGCAGGATGGCCATTTTGAAAATATTACTTCTTCCTATCCATGAGCATAGAATGTATTTCCATTTAATGGTGTTTTGTTTTTTTTTAATTTCTCTCATGAGTGTCATAGTTTTCAGAGTAAAGGTCTTTAACCTCTTTGGGTAAGTTTATTTCTAGGTATTTTATTCTTTTTGATGCACTTGTAGATGGAGTCATTTTCCTAATTTCTCTTTCTGCTAATTTGTTGTTAGTACATAGGAATACAATTAATTTCTGTGTATTAATTTTGTACCCTGCAGCTTTGCTGAATTCAGTCATTAGTTCTGATAGTTTTTTCATGGAGTCTTTAGGGTTTTTTATGTATAATATCATGTCATCTGCAAAATGTGACAGTTGAACTTCTTCCTTACCAATTTGGATGCCTTTTATCTCTGTGTTATGTGATTGCCATGGCTAGGACCTCCAGTACTCTGTTGAATAAAAGTGTTGTGAATGGGTATCCTTGTATTGTTCCCGATCTTAGAGGAAAAGCTTTCAGCTTTTTGCTGTCGAGTATGCTGTTGGCTGTGGGTTTTTTGTATACGGCCTTTATTATATTGAGGTACTTGCCCTCCTTACCCATTTTGTTGAGAGTTTTTCTCATGAATGGATGTTGAATTTTGTCAAATGTTTTCTAAGTGTCTATCGAGATGATCATGTGATTTTTGTTGATGTGATGTATGATATTGATAGATTTATAAATATTGTACCATCCTTGCATCCCTGAAATAAATCCCACTTGGTCATGATGGATGAGCCTTTTGACGTATTTTTTAATTCGGCTTGCTAATATTTTGTTGAGTATTTTTGCATCTATATTCATCAAGGATATTGTCTATGGTTTTCTTTTTTTGCAGTGTGTTTGTCTGGTTTTGGGATTAGAGTTATGCTGGACTCATAGAATGAATTTGGAAGTATTCCCTCCTCTTCTACTTTTTGGAAAACTTTAAGAAGGATGGGTATTAACTCTTCTTTAAATGTTTGATAAAATTCAGTGGTAAAGCCATCTGGTTCAGTGATTTTGTTCTTAGGTAGTTTTTTGATTACCAATTCAATTTCATTGCTGATAATTGGTCTGTTTAGATTTTCTGTTTCTTCCTGGGTCACTTTTGGAAGGTTTTATTTTTCTGCAAAGTTATCCACTTTCTTCTAGGTTGTCCATTTTATTTGCATATAATTTTTCATGGTATTCTCTAATAATTCTTTGTATTTCTGTGGTGTCCATTGAGATTATTCCTTCTTCATTTCTGATTTTGTATGTGTACTCTCTTATTTTCTTGGTAAGTTTGGATAGTGGTTTATCTATTTTGTTAATTTTCTCAAAGAACCAGCTTTTGGTTTCATTGATTTTTTTCTATTGTTTTATTATTCTCTATTTTATTTATTTCTGCGTTGATCTTTGTTATGTTCCTCCTTCTACAAAGTTTGGGTTTCATTTGTTCTTCTTTCTCTAGTTTCTTTGTGCATTTTGACTGTA